AACAGTGATTTGTTGCGCTTTTGATACCAATTTAAAGTAACGACTCTAGAAATCGCTACGACAAGACAATTATGCTTCAAAATCATCGGTAATGCACTCGATTCTTGTCAGAACTACGTCGTATAGACCATACAATGAATCAATCTTACTTATTCGTAGTTGTAACTCGTTTATTTCCGTTTCTTCAATGGAATGAACGTCTAATGAGTTCAAATAAGTTTCAAAAACGGTTAATCGACCCTTGTAGCTAGCACGTTTCTTATTTAGATCACTTTCCTCGTTGTTTGCGTCTCTCAGTCATATTGGAAGGCGGTTGCTAGATCTGGAACGTTTTACAGATGATTTGTGTAAATAACCTATATATACTATATACTCTCTTTATTAACTGTTGAAATATGAACATAACAACATTTACAAATCTTTATGATTGCAAAGTACTTTCTTCAATTAAGTAATTATGCAATTATAGGTAAATTACGTACATGCCAAAGTGAAATTATAAAATAATATAGAACTAAGTTACATACTTACAGATTTTTTATATTAGCAGATACCTAAGTTACTTAGAACAAGTAATTAAATTAATTATAATTGAGCTAACGGCAATACTAACCTTATCACTAATCAGTGTTGCCTGACTAATTAAGAAGTAAGTTTCATTAATTAACAGTAATTAATTAAGCACTTTCCACTTTTGGCCACTTTCATCCTTTCGTCCTTGGATGCCCTTGACCTCAGAATATGCGCGACGTGTTGTTCTTAATTCTTCTTTAACTGCCACCGTACCCGAACGGTTACCACGCCAGACTGCCACGCAGAGGTCCCAGGTTCGATTCCCGGGTCGGAAGAAATATTTGTATGGCCCTCATTTATTTATCTTGTGAGTTTGGGTGTAATTTGTGGTTTTCTATGTGTGTGTCCATGGCACCCGCGATACAGGGTTTTCCCTATGTGGGGCTATGTTGAGTGTGTGCGTTATTATTATTCTCCACTAATTTCGACACACAACAAATTATTTCCGTGATCTTCTTAAATCCGGCTTCGACATAGAACCATGTTGGGAATTTCAGGAAGTTCCAAATAATAGAGACTTGTGAAAATAAAAATGGTAACACCGTGTAATAATAATTGCCGAGTGTAATAGCTAGTTAAAAATTACAAAAGAAAATTGCATAAGTTGGTTGTGTACGTTTGCTATTCTGAAACCGTCAGGCGCACAAATTTTGTTGCAATAATTATTAATCTTTGCTTCCGTGGCTTCAACAATAACAGTTAAGCCTAGTTAACTTATGATTTTGTGTGTAATTTAAAACTTAGTTATTCTTGGTAAAGTTTTTAAATAAAAAAGTCCCGCACATACAGTTTACAAAGACTTTTGTTAAATTCTGATCCTTTTTTGAGCAGTACAATGCAAATGCCACAGTAAAAAAAGTAAATTTTTCTCCAGTGAGACATAGGAACTTCTGCTGCCGGAAGCATCAGACGCAACATCAACTTAGGTATAATGAAGATGACGATGGGTCTTATGACGACGAATCCCATTAATACTATATTTTTTGCAATTAATTTTTAATACAACGAAAAATATGTGTTTTAAATGCAATATAATGACTTTAAACTGCTTTTTATTACATATCAAATCGATAAAAATCACAAAAGTATTTTTAGCAACTTTTGAGGTGAAATACTCCACTGTGCGTCGTCCACTTCCTGTGCGTAATACGTAATATAAATACTTGTGAAAAAGTCTTATTTTCGACACATAAAGTTGATCTCAAGTAAAAGAATTAATCAGAGAAGACTGAATGTTATAGCAGTTGTCATAGCATTAATAATATAGTTCTTTAATAAAGAAACGTGATCTCAAATTATAGTTCCTCAATTAAGGAATTGTAATAAGGAGACTGAACTAGAACTACAACTAACTTCAATAAAAGGCAAGGTTTGATTTTTTTTTCTATTGATTATTGTCAATCGAAATATGAATAAGGGTTCATATATCTGGGAATATATATATCTGAAATTTGAACAAATAAATAATACAGGAATTTTCATTGTTTTATTCTAATTTTATAAATGTACGAAATTAATATCTATATAAAATACTATATTTTCTCATCTCTTTATATTCTCAATCCAATTAACAGTTTGTCCGACTTGTATCATTTATTCCTTGAATAAAAGCAGTTGTGTATACAATAAATAGTGGGACTCCAAACTCTTACCGTAGCCTATCATGTACGCTTGTAATACCAGTGGCATTGCTCAGTCGTTGCTAACACTAAAGAAGGGAATGAAGCTAGAAAAGAGGAAAGAAAAAAGTGAAGGGAGGGAATTAGGCTACCAATACTCTCCAAAATCTCAAGCAATACAGCATGCTGCTGCTTTACGTCGATGTTTAGTAAGAAAATACTTACAAATTGTGACTTTCGACTGTATAAAACATTAGAAAATAGCATTAACATGAAGTGTATTTTTAGCACAAACAGCAATCACTTAATAGACACTGCAGTTGTTATACATTATATTATTATTCTTTTGTTTTTGTACATGTATTTTCGAGATTAATTAGTAGTAAGATATGTATCTAAGAATAAGTGCAGTATCTAAGGTACTTCCTGCCGTTATGGTTAGGAGGATCAGGGTTTACTCTCAATCTCCATCCGACATCCGTCCGAAACAATTACTGTCAAATAAGTAATATTCGACAAAATTAAAAGACAAGTATCAAGGTTGAAACTTCATTCGCATCACGCGTCTTTTCATTTGGTCAAGTATTGCTTATTTGGCAGTAATTGTTTTGGACGGAGATCAAGAGTAGATCCCCAGGTTTGACTTAGTTACTGCACTCTTAGTTAGGAGGGCAGTATGAGTCTCTATGCCTAATTAAAAAAATTGTTACCATAAGTAGTCACATTTATAATAATTACGGTTTCTCACCAGTATGCACCTTTGTATGATTTTTAAGTGCTTGTTTTGTTGCAAAACATTTCTTGCAAATATGACATTTGTGTCGTTTTGGATTAGTATGAGTCCTTAAATGATAACATAGATAATCTTTACGAACAAAACATTTGCTACAGTGATCACATTTATAGGGCTTTTCGTTATTATGGATCATTATATGCAATTTAAGTGACTGTCTTGTTGTAAAACATTTATTGCATGTATCACACTTGTATGGTTTTCCCCCAGCATGAGCCTTTATATGCGTATTACAATTTGATTGATATCTAAAACATTTGTTACAGTGATTACATTTGTAAGGTTTTTCTTTAGTATGGGTCATAATATGATATTGAAGTGTCCATTTTGTTACAAAACATTTATTGCATGTACCACACTTGTATGGTTTTTCTCCAGCATGAGCCTTTGCATGCTGAATACAATTTGATTGATGTTTAAAAAATTTGTTACAGTGACCACATTTGTACGGTTTTTCCTCAGTATGGCTCATAATATGAAATTTCAGGTTCCGTTTTCTTGTAAAACATTTATTGCATGTATCACACTTGTATGGTTTTTCTCCAGTATGAGTTCTTAAATGCTGAATATAATTTGACTTACAGGCAAAACATTTGTCACAGTGGTCACATTTGTATGGTTTCTCCTCAGTATGGATCGTAGGTTGTCTTATTCTTGTAAAACATTTATTGAAAGTAACACACTTGTATGGTTTTTGTCCAGTATGAATCCTTATATGTGCACTAATATCTGATTTACTGGCAAAACATTTGTTACAATGATCACATATGTATGGTTCTTCTCCAGTATGACTCTTTAAATGTTTAACAAAATTTGATTTATAGGCAAAAACTTTGTTACAGGGATCACATTTGTATGGTTTTTCCTCAGTATGGATCATTATATGCAATGTAAGTGTCCATCTTGTTGTAAAACATTTACTGCATGTATCACATTTGTATGGTTTTTCTCCAGTATGACTCTTTAAATGTTGAACAAAATTTGATTTATAGGCAAAAACTTTGTTACAGGGATCACATTTGTATGGTTCTTCACCAGTATGGGTAAATTTATGAACTTTAAGGTACTTTCTTGTGGTAAAACATTTATAACATAAATCACACTTGTATGGTTTTTCTCGATTATGAGTCTTTATATGTTTAACAAAATGTGATTTATAGGCAAAACCTTTGTTACAGTGATCACATTTGAATGGTTCTTCTCCAGAATGGGCCATTTTATGAGTTTTAAGTGTCCGTTCTCTTGTATAACATTTATTGCAAATATCACACTTATATGAGCGAGTATTGATATTCAATCCCTCAGATGTTTTCTGCACAAATTTTGTTTGCGCTAAATCAGTAGGCTGTAATAAAGTAGGTCCTATGACCAACTCGTCCTTGATTTCATGATCTGCATACAGATCCAGCTCCTCTTTTTTGCTTTGTTCTTCTTCCGCAACGCCAACTGGCTCTTCTTTGATGTAAAAATTCATATGTAAATCCATGGAGCTGTTTTCCAATTCGCTTGCCTCCTCCTTAACGTTCATAACATCTCTTAGGTCCGTGTACGACATTGTTAGCTGTTATAGATAATAATAATTCTTCTTCTATTTGGGGCGCCGCGTTTTCTAATATTTGGCCAGTGTGCAGTGTGACACAGTGTCAGTTTTGTTTATTCTTGTTCGTAAGTCAATGTTCTTTATAATTTATTTGTTGTTGTTTTGGCTGCCAGTGTCGTTATAGTTCTATTGATTAGCGATGGGCGTTATTTAGCGTAGATAGTTTTAAGACTTATCTATTTGGCTTCACAACCATCAACTCGTTTTTTAACCCAGGACCCAGCAAGACTATCTATTTTTCAAAATTATCTATTTTTCACAACACCCCGACGTTAAAATTGTCACTGCGTTTTTGACAACCCATCCCTTGTTTTTTTTATTTATAATTTTGGCTTGGATACAAGTTCTTTGAGCGATGACTTCGTTTAATTATGTTTCTTTAAATATGGCCGCCACAAAGAGAATAGGCAATTTGAGGTGGCGTGCTTGTATTGACTCGGGATTCCTACGAACGGGCCGATACGGATATTTTACTTCGAGATTCGTATAATTTCGCGTTTTAATCTTCGATTAAGGCACAATAGTACTATCCTATTCCACTTTAAACTAGATTTTACAAATCGCGTATATTTGTTTTTTCAAACAAACCGACGTTTCGGGCCCTTTACAGGTCCCATGGTCACGGTGGAACAAGAGAATTGTGGTACTTTAGCTTTCTTAGATGTTTTAATTAAAAGAAATCCTAATAACACCTTAGGCCATACTGTATTCCGAAAGAAAACCTATACAGATGGGTATCTCAATGGTAATTCCCATCACCATCCTAGCCAGTTAGCTACCGTGGGCAAATCTTTGTTTCAGAGAGCACATGGTGTCTGCGACAGTAATCATCTGGCAGAGGAACTTCAGCATATAAAGCGAGTCGTACATGCGAATAAGTTGAAGATTCCACGCCAATGCCGCAGGCCCCGTGTGAAACTTTCAACAGTCGAGCGAAGACCTGCCATCTTACCTTACGTGAGAGGTGTTACAGACAAGATCGGAAGAGTCCTCAGGCGCGCATCTATCAAGACCTATTTCAAGCCCCTGAGGAAGATTTCTCAGTTCCTGAGACCCGTGAAATGTAACATCCCCTTACAGGATGCAGGAGTTTACAAGCTTGACTGTGAGTGCGGTCTCTCTTATATTGGACAAACAAAGCGAAGTATTTGTACCCGCGTCAAAGAACATAATAGCTGATGTCAAACACCGTCGCGTAAACAAGTCTGCAGTCTGCGAGCATGTCATGGATAAACTTACACATTCAATGAAGTTTGACAAACCCCAGGTCCTTGCAAAAGAAGTCCGTTATCTACCCAGGATGCTGCGATAGGCCATTGAAATTAAAAAACATCCTAATTTCAACAGGGAAGATGGTTTCTGAGTACCACCAGTTTGGGATCCAGTATTTCCTCTAATGAAAAATCCCAAACAGACCTAAGACTGCAGTACTAATTAATATGTTTTAGTTTATTCTAATTTCTCTCTCTCTCTCTCATCTGAGCGTTGTCCTGGTTGCGTCCTCAGCAGTGTTGCTGCGGAGCCCGGGGTCCGCTTTCCTACTCTTTCTCCTCCACTTTGCACGGTCTTCGGCATCCTTAGTGGTGAGACCATTGGCACGCATATCACCCTTGGCGACGTCAAGCCAGCACTTCTTGGGTCTGCCCCTTCTACTGGGGCCCGGCGGAGGTGGCATAGCCAGACATTTGTTTCCCACGTAGCATGCCGGTTTCCGTAAGATGTGGCCGTACCAACGTAGGCGGCTTTCTTGCAGTTTATCTGCAATGTCACGGACGTGAAGGCTGCCGCGGATGCGGGAGTTTCTGACACGGTCTTTCCGTGAAACTCCACACATCCAGATCAGCATCTTCATTTCCGTGACACGCAGCTCCTGCTTATGACGCTCAAGTACGGACCACGTTTTACTGCCATATAATAGGACAGGCCTAATGATGGATTTATAGACCTGTCCTTTCAGCTTAACCGGCTTAACCTTAATTAAATCTTGGGGTCACAAATGACACCAGTCACCTCACGCCACTTTGCCCAAGCGGCTGCGATTCGGGCTCTGACGTCGCAGTTGATGTCTCCGGACGCGCTAAGTACAGATCCCAAGTATTTAAACTGGCCCGTAGGCTCGACCGCGTCTTCGCGTACGGGTAGGGGATCTGTAGCGTTGCAGACCATGTACTCAGTCTTCGCCACATTTAGTCTCAAACCGCCGTTCTCAAGCGACTCCTTCCACACATTCACTCGTCGTACCAGTCTCCCTCTATCCGCATCCGCCAGCGCGATATCGTCAGCGTACATAAGCATCCACGGGGGTTGCTCATGCGTGCCTCGGATGGAGCTTGAGACCTCGTCTAATATCACGCTGAACAGATAGGGACTGAGAACTGAGCCCTGGTGAACTCCGACTGTGACAGGGAAGGGTTTAGTGTCACCAACAGCAGTCCTAACCATGGAATCGGAGTCGCGGTACATGTCTCGGATGATGTCAATATAAGTTTCTGGTACCCCTTTGGATCTCAGTGCCCACCAGATCATTTCACGGGGGATACAGTCGAAGGCCTTCTGCATGTTAAGAAACATGAAATGCAGAGGCGTATTCTTCAATCTGTATTTCTCCATGATGACCCTTAGGGCAAAAACAGGATCCATGGTCCCAAGACCAGGCCGAAACCCATGTTGACCCTCCGAGACAGCACTCTCCTGTCGGATCCGAGAGTCTATTATACGCTCGAAGAGCTTCATGGTGTGGGACATGACCTTTATGCCCCGATAATCGCCACGCTCACGCACCGATCCCTTCCCTTTGAAGACTGGAGTGATAATACTCAGTCTCCATTGGTTAGGAATTTTACCGGTGAGGAGCACGCGATTAAAGAGGCCGGGAAGGATGCCCACACCACGGGGACCCATTGCCTTCCAGGCCTCGATGGGAACCCCATCGGCTCCGACAGCTTTCCGATTCTTCATGCGACGAAGACCTAAGTGGACTCAGGCGTTACCGGTCGCACTAGTCCCTGATTCGGAGGGAGGACCGGTGGCTGCACCTCTCTGTGCTGCTGATTCAGCAGCTCGTGGAAATATGAGCGGCATCTCTCCTTCACCGCGTCGACCTCGCATATAAGGTTGCCATGAGGGTCTTTAATGCAGCGACACTTGGAAATATCTTGTGCCGCTAAGACCCTCGAACGTGCCAGCTTGAAGATAAGCTTCTGCCCCTCAGACGATTCCAACTTGTCGTACAACGGCTGCAAGTGGTCCCGTCTGGCTCTGGCTACAGCTTTCTTAGCGGCACGTTTGGCATCCCTATATGCGTCGCGGTCTTCAGAAGATCCGGACGCTTGCCACGTTTTGAAGAGGGCTTTCTTCACCCTCACCCTCCCTCTGGACTGTGTCGTTCCACCACCAAGTTTCTTTGTCACATTTGCGACCACCTTTGGACAAGCCCAGCACCGCTTTCGCCGCCTTAGATATGGCAGCCTGAATGTTGTCCCAGTGGTTCTGGACTAGATCACCTTCAGTGTCGGCGCATTTATCGCCGATCGCTGAGATGAACTCCTGGGACGTGGTACTATCAAGCCGCCACCATCTGATTTGGCGTCGGCAGCGCTCAGCGGGCTTGTCGGCCGGCTTTACGCAGAGATCCATGACAAGAAGACGGTGTTGCGCATTGAGACTCTCACCTGGTATGACCTTGCAGTTGGCTACTTTGCTGATATGGTGTCTCCTGGTGAGTAGGAAATCGATTTGGGTGGCGTGTCCGCCGCTCCTGTAGGTGATTAAATGCTCGGGGTTCTTTTTAAAGAACGTGTTCACGATGGCGAGGTCGGCCGCCGCACACGTTGTGAGGATGTCTCCTCCCTCCGCGTTGCGACTGCCGTATCCGTAGCCACCGTGGACCCGCTCGAACCCTTCGCACGCCTCACCCACATGACCGTTCAGGTCGCCACCCCAGACGACTGCCTGCGACAAAGGAATGGCACTCAGCACTTCCCCGAGTTGATCTCAGAACTTCGCCCTGTCCGTGTCGCTGCAACCGGCCTGAGGTGCGTAGGCGCTTATCAAGTGGGTCACGACCCCTTCGATAAGCACCCTCACTACCATAAGCCGGTCGCTAAAGCGTTTCACTTCCAGAACGTGATCGTGAAACTCCTCGGAGAGCACCACGGCGGCCACCCCATTCTCGCCCCCAGAAGAACCGGTGTAGATCAGCTTGTAGCCATTCCCAATGAGCCGGGATCTGCTACCTTTCCACCGAGTCTCCTGCAGGAATGCCACGGCGACCCTCCGCCTGGAAAGTACGTCTGCTAGCTCCCTCGCGCGTCCAGTCAGCGTGCCAATGTTCCACGTGGCAAAGCGGAGCTTCCTGTGATGGGTAGGGGCTCGCCTCTTTAACCGTGCCCACCCTTGACACGGTAGCCCTAGTCCACTTGCCACAGAAGTCGGGCGAGGCTCCTGCGCGCCGTTTTGCGGCGGCGCCCTATCCCTATGCCATATCCTTCTGTTGACTTCCATAAGTGATGTGGCGGTGTTGGTTTTTACGGGAGCGACTGCCGTCTGACGTCTGAAAGGGAAAACCCCTCGCTAGAGCCTCGTCCGTCTATCAGCAGGCGCACCACTTGCAGGTGAGGTTAGCTTGGGCTCCAAGATGTAGGTGGAGCCCCCAAAACGCCCCAGTTTATTCTAATTTCTATTAATAATTAATAATAAATTGAACTTAATAAAAATTCATTCAATAAAATAATTTGTAAAACTTAATGTAGCGTAAATTGGAATTATTTCTTTGTAAAATTAAAAATAAGGTATTTAATTAATAACTATTATTAAGGATCAGAAGTAACGATATTTAAAAAAAAAGGAACAATAATCAACCTAACTTTATTTTACATGATTTACAGAATAAAATATTTAAGCTATCGCGAATATTTCACTAATAGTTTAGATCCGAAGCCTACTAAGCGCCGCGCCAGAATGGTTGTCCGTTGTTCTGTCCGCTATTCTCCTCGCTGCAGCTCGGAGTGGGGTGGAGTGGGAAATCACGCCACCTTTAAGCCCCGCCTCCTGAGCTTCCCGCTAACACTATTGTAACTATAGTGAAGATATAGGGTGGTTTGCATTAATATTAGACATAACTGGTTGAAGACTGTACCACAGTCAACCGTGACCATGGGACCTGTAAAGGGCCCGAAACGTCGGTTTGTTTGAAAAAATAAATACACGCAATTTAAATCCGGAAAAATAGTAATAATATTTCATTTCCTATGTGTAACAATCGCGAAAACCTAAGAACTCGATATAATATCAATATCGTTCATAAACAAACTCTAATAAAAAAACCACGAAAAAAAATGTCCCAAGTCAACCTATTCGAAATTTAAATTGTAATCATCAGTGTCATATCATTGAAAGGAAAATAACACGTAACTTTAGCATTTCCCAGTTTTATTCGGCAAAACTCGTTACTCACATAGAGTATTATAAAATCCTAGATATCGGTGATCGGTGATCGGTGATCACTCTTTCAGTGAATTCAGAACTTTAAAATGCTCCCCTGTAAACTTGGCAATTTCGACATACAATACTTTACGTAGGAGTGATTGATATGAAACAAGTATTAATTGAATGTAATAAAATGCTTAAGTACTGAAATCAATGTTTTATTTTTATGTGTAATAATAATTTACCTATAATAATTTAAACTAAGGGCGCCTTCAAATTAGAAGCTTGCAATAGGTAGCGCAAAAGTTGTCAATATGTCGGAAGATGCAATAATTTTTGCAAATAACGGTAAATGTCAGTTCCGCTTTAACATTTGTATTTCTACATGTGGGCAACTGGGGAATACGAACTCAGCTTTCTTTGATTTTTAAGAATTTTAAATATCACCATGCCAGACTGCCACGCAGAGGTCTCAGATTCGACTCCCGGGCTGGGAGGAATATTTATATGGCCTACATTATTTCTCTCGTGAGTTTGGGTGTAATTTGTGGTTGTCTACGTGTGTGTCCATGGCACCAGTGACACAGGATTTCCCTAATACGGGGCTATGTTGAGTGTGTGCTTTATTATTTTTATTATAATTGCTGGGATTTGTAGAAGGGAATGTCCTCATTCTTTTTTAGTTTAACTAAGTTAACTGCCACAATTCCGATTACTGATAATGATATAACTACAGAATACAAATCAAGAAATTGCTCAGTCATTACAGTTGAGTAAATTTGTTTTCCCAAACGTCCAGCCATTTTTCTACCCAACTATTCGCCAGGTATACCCAACATTGTGTATTAAATTTCACATCAGTATGGGCTGTTATATGACACGTCAAGTACCTGATTTAATGTATGGTTTCTCTCCAGTATGAATCTTTAAATGCCTTTTACAATTTCCTTTTGAAGCAAAGGCTTTGTTACAGTGGTCACATTTGTATGGTTTCTCTGTAGTATGGACCTTTACATGATGCTTAAGTTCATGTTTTGCTGTGAAACATTTTTTGCAAATATCACACACATACGGTTTATTCCCATTATGGGCCATTATATGACACTTAAATTGATATTTTCTTATAAAATATTTATTGCAGATTTCACACTCATATAGTTTCTTACCAGTATGTGCCATTTTATGACACTGAAGTTGATATTTTGTTACAAAACATTCATTGCAGATATCACACATATATGATTTCTTATCAGTATGGGATATCTTATGACGTTCAAGTTCATGTTTTCTTAAAAAACATTTATTGCAAATTTCACACTCATACGGTTTCTTACCAGTATGAGCCATTATATGATACATAACTTGAAATTTTCTTATAAAACATTTATTGCAGATATCACACATGTACGGTTTCTCTCCAGTATGGATCATTATATGACACTCAAGTTCACGTTTTCTACCAAAACGTTTAAAGCAAATGTCACACTTGTACGGTTTCTCTCCAGTATGAGTAATGATATGAGTCTTAAGTACCTGCTTTCTTGTAAAACATTTATGGCAAATATCACACTTGTATGGTTTCTCACCAGTATGAGTCTTTAAATGTGCTTCACAATCTGCTTTACTGACAAAACATTTGTTACAGTGATTACATTTGTTTGGTTTCTCTCCAGTATGGACCATCATATGAAGCTTAACGTGATATTTTCTCCGAAAACCTTTATTGCAAATTTGACATTTGTATGGTTTCTCGTCAATATGAATCATTATGTGACGTTTAAGTTGCTTTTTTGTTGTAACACATTTACTGCAAATATCACATTTGTGCACTTGCTCTCCTATTTGAATCCTTAAATGTTTATTACTTGCTTTACAGGTAAAAGATCCATTACATTGTCCATATTGCTTCGGATTCTCTCCAGTATGAATTGTTTTATGACGCTTCAGATGGTGTTTCATTGTATAACATTTGGTGCAAATATCACATTTGTACGGTCGAGTATCAGCATTCAATCCATCAGACGTCTTCTGCACACAACTTTCTTGAACTAAATTAACAGGCTGCAACACCACAGGTCCTACAACCAATTCTTCCTTGATTTCATGATCTGCATACAGATTTAGTTCCTCCGGCTTCTTTGGTTCCGCAACACCAACTTGCTCTTGTTTAATGTGGATATTGCTATGTAAACTCATAGGGCTGTTTTCTAATTCGCATAGCTCCTCCTTAACGTTCTTATTATCTAGGTCGGTGAACGACATTGTCAGTTACCAGTCACCAGTTAAGTTGGTAATTCCTATATCTCTCTAATTTGTATTGATAATGTGCTGATTTAACGCACTAACGTTTAATAGAGTCTCTCTTTTTTGAAGACGGAGTAAAATTATGTTAAGTAGCTGATAGAGATGGGTTTTAACCCGATAAATATCCGTCAAAGGATAAATATCCGTTTTTACTGAGTATTTATCCTAAAACATGAATATTTATTTTTTGTGTTTTTTATGATAAAATTAATTATAATTCATTTTTTATTAAGTAACTACGTACGATTACTTCTAATTGCACTGCCACGCAGAGGTCCCAGGTTCGATTCCCGGGCCGGGAGAAATGTTTGTATGACCTACATTTATTTCCCTCGTGAGTTTGGGTGCAATTTGTGGTTGTCTATATGTGTGTCTATGGCACCCGCGACACAGGGTTTCCCTAGTGCGGGGCTATATTGAGTGTGTGAGTTATTATTATTATATTAATTTTGCCATTGTTTTATGTAAGAATACTGTTTTAGTACCTACGTTTTTCGAGTCGATAACATCTCACTAAAGGTAGGAATGTAAACTAATTGCAACGTACTCACACAACAACACTTGTAACATTCGGTAGCCTCCTTTACCGGCCGCATTCGCCTGTAATGTAACGCTTTCGCGGGCACTTGCGGGCTCTCAAAGGCACTCGCACGCACGCTTTGCTACCTCGCACTTTCTGGTGGAATCGCAGCCTAATCGAATATTGGACGTTACATTACAGGCGAATGCTCGCCGGTAAGGAGGTAGTTTGTAATGTAATGCTC